AATCAACTTCTTTTTTTCTAAGTTGCCTTTGGGCTAAAGAGGTTAAGAGTATTTATTATATTTTCAATGAACAAATTAATGCTAATATAATCAATTTCATTGTTAATTTATGCTAAAAGGTAAATTCCTTAATATGTGTGAAAAAACCAAAAAATTAATTAAAATGGATCGAAGAGACTACTATTTTTGTGATTACGGGTTATAACCATAAAAATATTATGACAAATTAAGCATGACGTGTTTCAAAAAAAAAAATATTTTTAGAATTTCGGTGCAGTAATTAAACACCTTAAAAAAATAGGACAGAGGGATTAATTACAATAAGCATATAGTAGAGTACTTATTAAGTACAATTAGGATAGGTTGAAGGGTTTGTGATTGCATAACCCACTAACTTCAAAGAATCTGATTCACCATTAATGGCAAAATTTGCGCCAAATCAAGATCCCATTTGCTCCATGTTAATTTTTGGGTACAACATGCAAACTTGATTGGACTATATAGTAGAAACAAGGCATGTGATATGACTCCAATATTAAATCATTGCCCTTTTAAGTAGTATGCACCTGGAATATTTACACGATCAAATCACTTATAAAATAAGTACGCAATATATATATATATATATATATATATATATATATATTTATTTATTTTAAATCCTCTACCTTTGTTTTGATGGTTAAGTTATCTAAATTTTGAAGGAGAATATTGGAGCAACGGTAACGTCAAGGGCGGATTCAACATGTGATCTATGAGTTCACGTAAACCCAGTAACTTTTGTCCAAACAATGTAAATATATTTCAAAAATTCACTATATATCGATAAATGTTTGAATGTGAACCCAGTTACTATTGAAAATTTCCTCGAGGTCTTTGCAGAAACCCATAAAGATTAAAATTCTAGATCCGCCTCTGGGTAAAGTTATCTGCGTATGACCTATAAGTCAATAGTTTGAGCCATGGAATCAATCACTTATATGTTAGGATAAATTGTCTTCATCACACCCTTTGGGGTGTGACCCTTCCCCAAATCATGCGTGAACGCGAGATAATTCGTATACCGAATTACTTTTTTTTAGTTATCTAATCTTTTGGGTGAAGTGGGGCTTTTGGTGGTGTTAAATAGTCACTAGCTAGCTACTATGAAAGGTACTTTAATTTGTTCCATCAATTTAGCATGATTGCCTCACTTAGAGGGAGCTAGCTAGCTTTCACCAATTGATGTTTAAACTTTGAGGGAGAGACATATTAAAGTTTTTCCAAACCATAGAATCTTCAACCAAAAAAAAAAAAAAGATTGTACTGTCTGGTATATGAGTCTTCTCCTTTTGTCTTTTAATTAACTTTTATATATTTCTTCATAGGAACTTTAGTGGAAGGTGACCATTGTCCAAGTTTCTACCCATGCCAAACAAATATTGGGTTTTCTTGATTAATTAAATGGGTGAAAATGGCTGTCTACATCACTTAAAAATGCACTAATGAAAGGTAAATTACTGGGTGGGCCCAATAAAAAAATATTGAAAATCGAAGGGGAGTCTTAGAACAACGGTAAAGTTATCTCCGTATGACCTATAGGTTGCGGATGAACTGTGAAAACAACTATTAATGCTTGCATTAGAGTAAGTTGTCAACATCACGCCCTTTGGGGTGCAGCCCTTACCTTTATCTTGCTTGAATACGAAATATTTTGTGTGTCGAACTGCCATTTTTTAAAATTAAAACAACTAGCTACGAAAGGATGTAGGGTTAAGTTTTTTTTTTTTCTATCAGACAAAAGTTGTAGGAATGGGATTGATTTTCTATGTTTTGCCTCACCAACTGCCTCAAGAGTTGCTGCACTTTGTACTACTCATGTGTCAAAAAGAGCTCCTAGAAGAAGAAATTATCCTTCTCTTTTTCTTTTCTTTCTTCCTAATGTTAGGATTTTATAGTGGCGGAGCCAATAATTTTGACAAATAAATTCGAAAAGTTTCAAAAATATTATATTTGAAATCCGAACTTGTGTTTCTTTTACATTAAAATGATTTACATTTTTCTACTGTTATATATAAGTTTTATTTTATTTTTTTAGTTTATATTGTATAATTTTTCGACGAAGAAATTTAACTGAATTATCATGTGATTCCGCTACTGAATTTTTATATTCATGATTGTTATGCTTGTCAATCCTTAATCTACCCTTTTTCTTTACTTCTTTCACTAAGATAACCCCAATCCCCAATATCATCAAAGTATATCATAAGACAAGAAAAGCATCCAATCTAAACTAATCTTTCTTATTTTCTATCATCCTATTGTCGTCTTGTTTAATAATCCATTATGTCCCTACATTAGTTTACATCAAATCTTCTCCTCATAATAATTGAAGTGTATACTAATTATCACCGCACCTTATTCAGTAATATTTCATAATTAACTTGATTTGATAACAATACACAATTTTAGTATGCTCAATTTTGTTTTTTATGCAACTAATAATGTATTTATCGCACAAATTAGTCCGGACACTAAGACAACAACAATAATAATAACAACTTAGTGTATTTCTATAAGTAGAGCCTGGGGAGGATAAAATGTACGCAACCTTACCTTTACCCTGGAAGTACAAAGAAATTGTTTCCGATAGACTCTCAGCTAAAGAAAAGATGGAAAAACCTAGCCTGGACACACACACACATCCAGAGGCGGACCTATATTATGAAAAAAAGGGTCACCGACACTCGAAAAGTTCGACAAAAATTTTATGTATACATGTCGTTAAAAATAATGATATATTAGTAGTGACACCTTATATACAAAAATAACTTTAATGGAATACAAAAGTTAACTTATAACCTTCAAATTCTAGATTTGCCTCGACGTAATTGCGCAAAGCGCCGACCTTCCATATATTGTATGCACAAATTCAAACTTATTCACTTTTGCACCGAAAAGAAGTTGCCAAAAAAAAGTATACATAATAGTTTCCCACTTAAATCATTTCACTTTTTTTTTCTTGAGCTTTGTTAAAGTTGTGATCAGCAGCCTAATAAGGTTCACTCTTTAATTTTGGTGCTTCTTTTTTTCCTTTTTGAGTGTTGCATTATCTTGTTTTCGTGCTTACACGTAAGCTTCGCTAAACACATAAACCATTGGTTGCTTATCCATAATTAATAAGCACAAACTTTCATCTTACTAATAAAAATAAAAATGAATTTTAAGTATAAACTAACAGTGTAAAAGATTTTTATATAATCAGATTAATTTAAGATAATTACATATAAATTTTTATGATAAATATTGATCGATAACCTAATATGATGGTTGACACTTCCTACGGACCGGAATCTGTTTGGATCAGATCCGGGATGTGATATGGTTCAGAAGAATGAGTTAGATATGGATAATCCCAATAAGATTTTATTCTCGAACAAAAATTTATTTTCTGACCAGAATAGGAGAGAATACATATTACACTACAATTTTATATCTGATAAGAAATTTCAACGTCATTTTAATTACAACAACATTCGAACAATTTTGACAATAAAAAAGGCAATTTTCATCAAGTACAACAACAACAACAACAACAACAACAACAACAACAACGTAACTTAGTATATTCTCACAAGTGAGGTTTGAGTAGGGTGCACAACCTTACCCCTACCCTGAACGGATAGAGAAGCTGTTTTGTTTCCGATAGACCCTTAGCTAAAAAAAAATAATTGTCAAGTAATACAAGTAAAATAATATTAATAGTGTAAAACCTCTTTAGATTATCAATGAAACTTAATTAAATCTATAAAGATTAAGCAAGAAGCCACTCATCCTTGTTATTGTTTTCCAAACAATTCCCAACCCCCTCCCCTCTTTCCCACACCCTTAAATAATCTCATAGTCTTTTCCCATTATGTAGCAGATAGGTTCTTGTTTGGACAGCTTTTCACTACTAATTAACCTTTCTAAGTATAAAATTTTGGCTTCATATATAAGTGGAAGACAATGAGAAGACAACTATATCTATATATATATATATATATATATATATATATGTTGTTTGACTCAAAGAACAATATTTGGTTGTATAATATAATATCTAATTCATCCAATCAATTCCTAGATCTCAAAGCCAGGGGGAACTAGTCTTCATGAGTGATTGATTGGTCCCACATTTAAACCAACAGTTATTGGAGATCAAAGATTGAAACATGTGGCACCCAAAGAGAACATGGTGGAGGCACAAGCGGACTTACCGGTTCGGCCGAACCCAATAACTTTTGTTTAAACAGTGTATTTGGTGTTTTGAATTCATAAAATATGTATAAATATTTAATTTAGAACATAGTCATTAACATTTGAAGTCGTAGTCCCAAAATCCAGAACCCATAAACTTGAAATCCTTACTCCGCCTTTAACAGAATATCTATGCTATGTTAAGAATTTGGAAGAACAAAACAACTAGATGGTGTAATAATGTTCGTTTTGGGACAAACTTATACGATATTCTCTAAAAGGTCATCTTATTAAAGATATCACTATTAGGGGCGGATACACCTTGCGGCAAGCGGTGTCAGGTGACACCGCTTTGTCGAATTTTTTTATTCAATATTTATATATTCGTATACAAAACGAAAATATTGAGTATAAATATAAAAAAGACACCGTTTCATTATAATGATTTATTCCTTCGTATATACATTTCTTCCAATATTGATATCACTTACCAACAATCTTGTGTATGCCCTGATTACTATACATATGTTTATTTTATAACTCAAATGTGAAATTTTGTTTGTACAATCAAAAATACTGACTTACGTGTGGATATTAGTTTTTCGATGATCATGGTGGTTTCAAAATTCTATATTGTTGTATCAACACTCTCATAACCATCAATTTTACGTTATTCTGGATCCACCTCTGTCTATCAGGATCCACCTCTGTCTATCAGGGATATTGAACCGACATAAAAAAGAAAGAAGAAAAGCACATCTAATTATTACATCGCGTACACATTTCAAAAGCTATATGTAACCTAAACTTTCTTTAACATATCACATCAATATTTACATGCACATACAACCAATGTACAATAATTTACAAACTTTGAACCCTCAATTTGCAGACAGTAAAAAGAAGGAAAAAAAAAGGCGAAGAAGAAAAAGACATAAACATCAGCAAATGCATGAAAGGATAATTTTTTTTCTTTGAGTGAAAAAATAAATAAATAATCTGAGATGTACAAGATCCTATTTTCTAGATAAATTAATTCAAAATAAAAAAGAAAAAAAGGATATAAAAATAAATAAATCTTCCTTCCTAGCTGATTATAACCGAGCTGAGCCGAGCTAAGGCGCGGCTGGTGCAAGGCTTAGATGTAAATCCAATCCAAATGCATCATCAAAATTGGGCCCAGAATCCCCACCTGAAAACCTACTCAATGACGGCCCATCAATTTTAGCACTGTGGGCCTTTACCTGTTGAGGCCCAACACTTGTCAAGCTCGAATCCACTACACTGCCGGTATACTGTAAGTTCCCTACACCTCTCCCACCATTGGACGTTGGAAACAGACAACCATGCGACACGTGGAAGGGCGGCGCAGCGCGTGGAACGTAAACCCACGACGGAGATGACCCTGCCGCCGAGGGAACCACCATGGTACCCGGCGGAGCGAGGAGGTGAGATGGCGGAGCAAAGGCGGAGATAATAGGGTTTCGCATGTATGCATTTCGACTAGCTTGCATTTGGGCACGTTTCAATTGTTGCCTTTCTTTTTTGTGCGCATTTTGATGGCCACCTAAAGCTTGTGAATTTGCAAATTCCCTACAACAGTATTGACACTCGTATTTCCGGCCGTCGGAAGCCGGAAAACCGCCGGATTCCGGCGACCCTGATGATGTTTTTGTTGTAGAATCAACTTCTTGATCTTGATCATCTGTTACGTTGAAACCAAACAACTTTAAACGTCCATTACTTGTAGTATTATTACCATGTTTACTCTGAAACTCCAATTCTGCCATGTTATATATATACACGTAGAGTTTTTGTAGGTGTGTTTTGTATGAATATATGTAAGTGTTAGTGTGTGTGTGTGTGTTTAAGGAGAGGGAAACAGAGAATATGAGATGAAAATGAGACAGAAAGAAATTAAAGAGAGATGGGAAGCAAAAGGGAAGTAAAGACATAAGTGGAGTTGTTGCATGTGTGGGGTATTTATACAAGTTTTAATTTTTTTTTTTTTTTTTAATCTCTTTGTTTTCGTGTGTGGAAAGAGAGAGAATTCCTATATAGTGATATCCCAAGAAAGAAAAGAAAGTGTAAACTTTGGGAATACGACCTAAGAACACTTGACCCAATGACTTATGGCAAATCAAGATCATCCTCCATTATCCCATTTTCAAATACGCAATGTCACATAAATATATACCCTATGTAGAAAAAGAGTTAAAGTGGACAATGTAAAAATATAAGCGGATTCAAAATTTAAATTTTTTAAGTTTGAGTTCATGATTTTACCATATCATTTGATTTTTATTACTGAGTTTGTAATATATTATTTATACTGATTTAGTTAACTTTTATCAAATATATATATATATAAGGTCTGAGCCAAATCTACTATATTCACATGAATCCATAAGATAAATAATGCATCAGTCTACACAATCAGGTAACTTTTTTATAGGGCCATTACGTGCAGGTAAATTTCCATGACAAGTAGAAATTTATAATCACTTAATAAAAAATGTAACTAACCTGGTATCATAAATTAATTTAATACTGATAATGTAAAGATTCTTACCTTATGAGTGCAGGGGCGGATTTAGGGGCAGAAGAAGGGGCGAATGTAGTATTGAACTAACGGGTTCAATTGAATCCATAACTTTGATAAGTAGTAAAAATTTATATGTAAAAATTCATTTAAATTGCAAAAATAGTAGATATGAACACATAACTTTAAAAGATAATGAGTTTAATGTTAAAATCTTGGAAGTATAACTCATAAAATTTAAATCCTGGATCCATCTCTAGGCAGAAGGAGGTTCATCCGAACCCCCTTCGCCAAAAATTACACACTATATATAAGGCAAAATTTGTTTTTTACCTCTATATATTATGTTTTTGAATATCCTTGACATAGCCCAAAAACATAGCTTAGTGGTTAAGAGGGTTCAAAATCTTTGTGAGTTCATTGATCCAATTCTCACTAGCTATAATTATTTTAAATTTTTTAAATATTTTTTAACCTCTTAGCGGAAATCCTACCTCCGTCACAACCTATGAGTTTATTATAATCTGAATTCATAGAAGAATTGTAATCAATGGAGCTCCAACATAGCAAAATACTTGCTCATAAAATATTTATAATTGCGTACATGATAAGTTATGTTAATTAAAAAGAAAAAAAAAATGTTCACTCAACAGGTTAGAGTAGAAGACGACATTTTTAGTGTCACGAAGTGGAAACACACAAGTCTAGAACACAACTAATAGGTGGGGAAGAGAAGTGTCAAGTCGTTTGCTTTTGCTGTTTTTTGTTTTCTTGAAAGTGCGAAGATTTTGTCATGTTTTGAAAGTATTGAAAATTAAATAAAGTGGAGTGAAATGTGATGCATGTGAAAGTTGTAGGGTGGTTGAACTATCAAATGATTGAGTTTAGCTGCAATTTTTTTTCTGTTTTCTTTCTTTTGTGGATGGAAAATTCAAGAGATATCCAAATCTATGATCATTCGATTAGGGGACAGAATATCATACTATTAGATTTCTAGTAAAAGTTGCCTTAATAGTGGTGAACATAAATGCCGGTAGTTAGTGGCGGAGTCAAAATTTTTATTAAGGGGTGTCAAAATATATAAAAGTAAATATACCAGAAAACTAAGGGGAGTCAATATATACATAGTATATACATACATATAAATTTTTCTTTTTACCTATCCACTCAGTATATTTTTCCCGCGAAGGTGTGTCGTTTGATACCCCTTTCTCTTCGCCACTGCCAGTGGCTTTTGAAAATTACTCGAGATGTATGCGTAAATACTATCCTCCTCAGATTCCACTTGTTAGAATATATTAGGTTTGTTGTTATTGTCGTCTAAAGAAAATATTTAAGTTATATAAATTGTCAAGTTCTTTATATTATTAGTATCTTTTAACTTCTCATATGTAGATGAATTTAGAATTTGAAGTTTATGGGGTCCTTATACACTGATCTCAAATTAAAAATTAAATTCATAATTAAATATTTATAGATATTTAATAAATTTTTTAATATGTATAGAAAGATTGAACAAAAATTAATAGGTCCCCCGGAACTCACATATTAGCCTTCTAGATCCACCACTACTTTCCTATGTTACTTAGTAGTAATCAGAGGTCAATCAATTATTTAAATTTACTGCGTTCTACCTTTATTATGTTTTCAATAAACTTATTGCTCTTTTTAAATTATGAAGTAGTTAAATAATATTGTTGAAATGTGATAATTTTTACATAAATATATGTATTTATATTCGGTATCGAAAATACTAGATTTTATATGTAATATAGCAAATACACTACATTTGTCATACAATTATTTTAAAAGTGAACTTAAAAATGCTTATCTATTTTATAATATGCTTATAAAGCTCCTTATATTGAACTACTACTATATATTTAATTAGGCTTGTTTATTGAAATACACTTGTAAAAGTTACCAATATTGAGAAAACAGATCGATCAGTACTTTTTGTCTGCCTCAATTAGGTAAATACTTATCTAATTTACCTAAACAAGTAAAATAGGAAATATGAAAGAAGAGACATGCAGTTTCGGTTTCCTTAATATTTATAGGAATTTTAATAATGGAAAGAATATGATTTTCATTTCTTCTTTTTTGGAATATGGGACACAAGAGATATAACATGAAGTGGCAGCATATGGAACTATTAGCATAGTCTTTCAATGTTCTACCAGTAATACATCTATTTTAAACATGAAGTGGAGGAAATGAGTTACTAGATTATTTGTTAAAATCGATTAAATTACATTGATAATATTTAAAAATAAAATAACGTGTGGCCGGTATTTTGAAGGTTGGAAGGGTATACCGACCAAAGTTGGTCGGTATTTTAATTATGTCATTAAAAAAAAGCATCATCTGAGAATCGAACCTAGGTTTATTATACTGTGGTAGGATACTATTCTACCACTAGACCATTGGTGCATTTTGTTTTAAGACTGTCTTTTATTTCATTTATACTCTTTAATTGTATTGTCGCACGAAAATAACCGATCAATATCAGCGGTTTTACTAAAAATAAAATTACCTAACGAATTCAGTCAGTTTTTTAAAATGACCGGCCGAATTAACTGTCCGATTTAGGTCGTTTTTAATATTAGTTTTAAATGAAAAAACCAACCAAAGGTAGTTAATTTCTTGAAAAATAAATTTCGAGGGACTCAAAAATAGTTTCCGACATTTTTGTGCCAAAAAAAAACCGACCAAAATTGGTCGGTTACGTAAAAAAAATTAAAAAATAAAATATTTTAAAAAACCTACCGGACCCAAATTGATTGGTCGACCGCTGCCGATTTCTACCGAATTTTTAGTAGTGGGTGTTGGCAAAGTAGTTACTATCTTTTATAATCTCCGGACAATTTTACGCCACCTAATATTTTTTTTTATAAAAAAAAAATAGCAAAAGTGTAGCTCAGTTTATCATTTAACATCATGACTTTAATTAAAACCAAAAAAAAAAATTGAATCATACGTAAATTGAATTATAAGAAAGTCAGGGACAATACATACAGAGATACGAGGTATATATTATTGTTCAGTAATTAGCATAATATATTGTGCAATGATTTTAATTTACATTATGATAACTTCTCGCAGAAACTTTGCCTATAAGCTTCAATCAAATAAATAAGACATAATGAGAGAAAAACATAACCATGTGGGATGAAAGAACNAAAGGCCAAAAGTGATCCATTAGTCGCCCGAAATTCACCCGAGCCCCTCGGGACCTCAACCAATTATACCAACAAGTCCCAAAATATCATACGAACTTAATCGAACCCTCAAATCACACCAAACAACGCTAAAACCACGAATCATCCCTCAATTCAAGCTTAATGAAACTTAAGATTTCTAACTTTTACATTATGTACCGAAACCTATCAATTCAAGTTCGATTTACCTCAAATTTTTAAATGACATAACGGAGCTATAAAAATTTTCAGAATTGGACTACGACTCCGATATCAAAAATTCAACTCCCCGGTCAAACTTCCAAACTTAAATTCCTATTTTAGCCATTTCAAGCCTAATTTAACTACGGACTTCCAAATAAAATTTCGAACACGCTCCTAAGTCTAAAATCACCATACGGAGCTGTTGGAATCGTCAAAATTCTATTCTGGAGTTGTTTTCTCAAAATGTTGACCGAAGTCAAATTTAGCACTTTAAGGCCAACTTAAGGAACCAAGTGTTCCGGTTTCAACCCAAACACTTCCAAATCCCGAACCAACCATCCCCGCAAGTCATAAATTATTAAAAGCACATACGGAAAGTTTTATTTTAGGGAACGAGATTCTAAAAGTTAAAATAACCGGTTGGGTCATTACAATTATTGAGATATTTATCATATAATAACACATAAGAGTGATGAGACTAATATAAATTAAATTAAATTAAATTAGTTGACCTTCCTTAACATTTTATGTATCCATCTTTATCCTTTTCTTTTCATGAGAATATCAATATACCAGACTACATCTATAATTTGGGGGAGCAATCACTTTATCCAACGATGAAGCGTTACTTTCATGAGAATGGACCAGGAAAGTCTCTTAACATAGGCTTCATGATTTTTCCACAGTATTTTATTATTACACATTTATCTATATAAAATAGAAAAAGCAAAAAGCACTATATTAAGACAAATGGCATAACCATAAAAAGCCAAATGGCATTATTAAGACAAAATAAACTACTTTTCTAACTTTTTTTTGAATTTAAATTTTGAATTAATTGGTTACTCTACTTGAATTAACAAATATAGATATTTTACTTATCTATAAAAAATAAAAACATAAAAAAATAAAATACTTATTCAAATTGGGGAGTAGTTTCAAGTTGGAGTTTTAAAATTATTTTAAAATAAAAAATAAAAAATAAAAACTACCAATTCAAATGTGGTGTGTTTATA